TGAAGTCCACAAGTCGTAAAGTTACCAAGGTTGGAGATCCATACTATAGAATGAATCCCTGGTAGGGCTGGGAAGTTGTCCAGCAACCTTGGTCGTCACCCACCACATTCAACCAAGGAGGCCTTGTCAACCTAATCTACAATTTCAATTCAGATTTATTGGTGATATTCTGAAATATACTGTAGGAAGCCCCCCCCCCCTTCCTCCCCAGATTAAATACTCCTCATTCTTAATATTAAGAGAGGCAGGATAGAATATTTACGCAAAGGAGAAATGAAGAAACATGTTCTTAAAGGCAGAAAGCAGCTCCAGTCTTCCCGCATAGTAAAACAGCCTCCAGAAGATGCCTGATGGATATTTTGTACCTATTAAGAAAGACTGGACCAAACTATTCATAAACAGGACACCTACAGCTCCACATGATGGGATTAAGAATTTACATGCCCCACCCAAATTCGAAGGACAGGACATGACTTTTAGGACATAACTAGCTCTATACCTGTGCTTCGCTACCAAACTATGTCATCGGGCTTAGTTTTTCGGGAGGAAAATAAGGGGAAAAAATTGTGCCTCTGCCTACCAGCATCCATCAGTATTCATCTGGCTAGCGTCCTGTCAGTGTGTGAGAGAGTTGAGGGCTGTTTGGAAACGGAAACATGGAAACTGAAACAGGATTGTGAGCAAGAAGGAGACAGCAAGGAGCCTGGGTGTGGCTTAGCTCAACTGTTCTGTACTAAAGTGCTTGGTGCTGTGAAACTAAAACTGAAACTCCTCTCCTCTGCTTGTGTTTTGCAATTGAAACAGATTTATTTTCAGGCGGGGAGGATAAGTAGAACTCCTTAGCATGAGAGCATGTTAATAATAATACACAAAATACTTGTGAAAACCCAAATAAAATTGTTTTCTTTTTAAAATAATATATAGAATACTAATGCTCTGATGGTCATTTCGAAAAATCCTTTCTTAGTGAACACCTAGAAGCCAAGAGACACATATGTGTCAAATTTCAAGTTTGTAGGCTTTACGGTTCAGGAGATTTTGTGATGATGCGTGACTGGTATTTCACTTTTATATAGATAGATAGGATTTACCCACCACCTTTAGAATAGCAAAAGACACAAGGCTCACTACATTGTACAACCCCCTGGAGCATCTCAAACCCAAAACACCAGAAACCTATAAAGATCCATCTATGCATTCAGCCATTTTGTCAGCTGTCCCAGAACTGCATGCTGTGATTAGTTCTCTCATCAATAAACCTTCTTTTTTAAGCACCTTCCATTTTATTCCCGACTTGGAACTGAACCTGGATTTTTCTTCCAACAATACCTCCCTCTCCCCAATTCCTCACCTTTTTACGATGGAGTTTTTGCTTTTCTCTGAAATCCTCCATTTTCTTCGCTTCTTCCCTGAGATTCTGGGCTAGCTGCATATGGACCTGGCCAATAGTCTCCACTCCTAGGAGCAAGAACATCAACTCAAGTAGGAAATCCACTTTTCTCATCATTTCACAGGTGAGAAACCAGTTGCAGAAACTTTACAACTGGACTTGTGCCTTCTGCAAAGCCATAATTTGCTCAGCTAAGGATGGTCCGTTCCTTACGCTACAATGACCGAACTTCACATTTCACACTTGAGCATAAATTTGTCCTACAAACCACAATGGCTGGATTCACACCTTTTAAATCAAAGTCAAACTCATCCTCCCGGGGGCTCAAGGGAAGCCTCTGGAGCCTCTGGAGGCTGAAAAACAGGCCCGTTTCATCACAGGCCGAAAAAGGCCTCAAACAGGCTGAAAATCCGCTGGGAGGCACGCGCATGCGCAGTGCAGGCAAATTTGGCTGAGGCTCGCGTGCCCACCTGCGACACGCATACCATAGGTTCGCCATCACGGTTCTATTCTATTCTAAGTTAGTTTTAGCAGAGCTGTGCTCTTTCCAACACACCGTCTTGGACTACCAGAACTTCTACAGATATTAAATACTAGGAAAATGATGACTCTTCCGATGACCTCTGAGATATAGATGGACTGCTCCCCATTCTGAGGTCAAGAAAAGTCCTCCAGCTTCCCACCCTGGGCATGACCCTAATGACTAACTCTGTCTGAAGATGAGTAAGACTTATCTCAGAAGTTCATGGCTACTGACAGTCACTATATTATAATCTAGCAATGTGGGAAACTCTCAGGCTCCATGTCTTAACGTAGCCTGAAATGTTGGCTTCTTTCCAATGACTCAGACTGAGAACAAGGGTTCCTCAAACTCTACAGCAGGAATATCCAGGCCTGGCAACTTTAAGCCTTGTAGACTTCAACTCCCAGAATTCCTCAGCCAGCCATCACCAGGAGAGTTCTAGTCTTGCCTTAGGTATGAAAGCCAGCTGGATGATTTGGGGCCAATCATCAGGAGATGGTGAGTTTCAGACTCGCCTTAGCACAAGGGCCTTCAAACTTGGCAAGTTTAAGACTAGTGGACTTCAACTCCCAGAATTCCTGAGCTAACATGACTGGAGGAGGAATTCTGGGAGTTGAAGTCCACAAGTCTTAAAGCTGTCGAGTTTGAAGACCCCTGCCTTAGCATGAAAGCCAATTGAGTAACTTTGGGCCAATTACCAGGAGTTCTAGCCCTGCCTTTGGCATGAAAGCCAACTAGTCAAGAGAAGGACCAGGGGAGACATGATAGCAGTCTTCCAATATTTGAGGGGGAGAGGACCTGCTTTCCAAAAGCACCTGAAGGCCAAACAAGGAACAATGGACGGAAACTGAACAAGGAGAGATTCAACCTGGAAATAAGGAGAAATTTTCTGACAGTGAGAACAATCAACCCATGGAACAGAAGTTGCCTCCAGAAGTTGTGGGAGTTTCATCACTGGAAGCTTTCAAGAAGAGACTGGCCTGCTATCTGTTACTAATGGTGGAGGGTCTCTTGCTTGGGTGGAGGGTTGGAGTAGATGACCTACAAGGTCCCTTCCAACCCTGTTAATCTGTAATCCTGGGTGACTTTGGGCCAATCACTAGGAGACTATGAATTCTAATCCTGCCTTAGGCGTGAAGGTTGGCTGGGTGACTTTAGGCCAGTCATTCTCTCTCAGTCCAACCCTCCTCAAGTTGTTGTTGTTCTGGGGAAAATAGGAGGAGGAAGGCGTATTGGGTATATTTGCTGCCATGTTGACTGCAGAATTCTGGGAGTTGAAGTTCACAGGGCTTAAAGGGGACCCCGCCTCCCTGCCGTAGAGTTTTCTGGCACAGGCATCCATGGGGGAAGCTAATGATGAAGATGGTGTTATGGAACAAGCTCCACCCTTCATACACTTGCACGCAACCTCGGTATGAACGGGTGGAGCTTCCACCTGGCTGAGGAGCAAACCGTTGTTGGGTTGATGGCTTTGATGTAAGGACTAAGCAAACCCAGAGCAAAGCAACTGGGCCTTTGCGACCGGCAAGAACTGAAGAAGCTTCTTGATGAGAAGCGAAACATTTTCAAAGAAAAACAACAACCAGAAAGGCCAAGTTCAGCACCAAGGGCTCCACAATTGTAATCTTCACTTTGTAATAATCTTTGTAATTTTCTATTAGTCTAAAATGTGACTAAAGATTAAATAAAAACAGAGAAATGAAATCTGATTTATTCTTTCTCCTTGGCACAGCCACTGTAAAACTAGGTAAGAGACAGATCAAACATGAGCATCTTTGACAGACCATGGTCAAGCACGGTTTGCTGGATCATCTTGGGTGCATTTCTTAGACAAGCATTAAGCCTTGGTCATCTGAATAGAGAGACCGTGTCAGAGGTGGGATTCAGCAGGTTCTGACCAGTTCTGGAGAACCGGTAGCGGAAATCTTGAGTAGAAGCAGCAAATCCCACTGGCCCCGCCCCCATCTCTTCTCTGCCTCCTGAGTCCCAGCTGATTGGTTGGGTCTCCTTTGGTTGCCCTGCACAGGAGAATGGAGCTGGAAAGCAGGTTAGTGGGGTGGGGAGGGAATGGGGATTTTGCAGTATCCTTCCCCGAGGAGTGGGGAGAGAATGGGGATTTTACAGTATCCTTCCCTTGCCCGCCTACCAAGCCACGCCCACCAAGCCACGCCCACCAAGCCACGCCCACCGAATAGGTAGTAAAAAAAAATTGAATCCCACCACTGGACAGTGTCAATTCTTTGGTTTGTCTAGCTTAGCTTTCTCCACGTTGATCTGCCCTCTCTACCATACAGGACCTCAACTGGTTTTATCCTCCACCAGAATGTATGGTGACCACCTTATCTGGGTATTATGGAATGTGTAGCTTAATGCACAGGGAAAATCCACAGGAAAAGCTGATTTATTTCCCCACAAACAAAGTTCAACTTTTGTAACACTTACGTTGCTTGAAAACCTCCAGTGCTCTTCTGAGGGTGCTAAAATGAAAGGAAAACAGACAATGAGGTTGAGCAATCGTGAAATTGTTTTGATGTCACCATAAAACACATACACACACACACACAAAAAAAAACCCCAAGACTTTGCTGCGGGTTTTCAGAAATTAGTCCAATTTCAACACCTGATTAGGCAAGTTGTGAAACTCAAAACATAGCTCTACAGTCAGATAGATTTCTGAACTTCTCTTTCCTTGTTTGCTAGTGATTTCCCTAGGTGGCCCAGTCAACGTTTCTCAATCATTCAAAGGACACTCAAAATGCAAAATCCAGAAGACACGTTTAATTCAGGCAAGTGAGAAGAACAAAAACCTTGTGTACCTCTTGCCCCAGGTCAAGTTCGTACAATGCACACTAACCCATGGCAGATCAGTTGCATACCTTCTTCGTTGGGTTCCCCCAATCCGCTAAAGCTAAACCATGAAGAGGCAAAACACATTCTAATTTTATGCAAATAGCTTGTAAAACAAATGTGGGGTCCCTGTCTGCGTTTGAACTAGAAAACCTTGAATTACGCCATCTTCGGTCTGATTTAAGCATGGTATATAAAATCATACATTGCAATGTCCTACCTGTCAATGAATACTTCAGCTTCAACCATAACAACACAAGAGCACACAATAGATACAAACTCAAAGTTAACCGCACCAAACTTGATTGCAGGAAATACGACTTCAGCAATAGAGTGGTCAATGTCTGGAATACTCTACCCGACTCTGTAGTTTCTTCCCCAAACCCCAAAAACTTTAACCTTAGACTGTCTACTATTGACCTCACCCCTTTCCTAAGAGGTCTGTAGGGGGCGTGCATAAGCGCACCAACGTGCCTACCGTCCCTGTCCTATTGTTTCTCTTATTCTTCTTTTATTTTTCTTATATGTACCCATTTCATGTATTCACAACTATGTATACACTTATACCTATTATCTTGTAAACAATTGGCAAATCAAATAAATAAATAAATAAAATAGTGTGGCTGGCTGGGGAATTCTGGGAATTGAAGTCCACACATCTTAAAGTTGCCAAGATTAAGAAAAAAAACTGCCTTAAGATCTTGTATAAACACAGAGATATTCTGTATTATTCTATTCCAGTAATATGCTTAATTAGATAAGCACTTGGAAGTTCCTTTTCTAAATGGCCAAACTTACCATCTCTGGGCTAGTGGGGATGAATTAAGCTATAGCCATCCACAGAAGCATAGTTAGCATCACCTATAGAAACAAAGGTGACAATTAATCCACAAGGTAAAAATGTCTGAGCCGAAATTTAAAATGGCAACACTGTGCTTGATTGACCACCAAGATGGGTAAGAACAAAAGAACATTCAGGAGATATCAGGCAGGTGCAAAATCTAATTAAGATTAGGAGAGCCACAAAATGTTTATTACCAGTAGTTGGAGATAATGCAAATCAAGGTCAGGAACAGATGTAAGTATTCAGCAGGTTCTGATCAGTTCTGGAGAACCGCTAGCAGAAATTTTGAGTAGTTCAGAGAACTGGCAAATCCCACCTCTGACTGGCCCCGCCCCCATCTATTCTCCGCCTCCCGAGTCCCAGCTGATTGGCTGGGTCTTCTTTTGTTGCCCTGCACAGGAGAATGGAGCTGGAAAGCAGGCTAGTGGGATGGGGAGGGAATGGGATTTTGCAGTAACCTTCCCCCAGGAGAGGGGAGGGAATAGGGATTTTACAGTATCCTTCCCCTGCCACGCCCACCAAGCCACACCCACCAAGCCATGCCACACCCACCAAGGCTTGCCCATAGAACCTGTAGTAAAAAAATTTGAATCCAACTACTGATCAGGAACTAAGCATTATCATTTAAGGATCCATAATTAACACTTCCCGCCTTTTAAGGTGCTCTTTGCCCACAAGGCAGGTAGTCCTCAACCTTTCGACAGCTTTAAGTCATCGTGGTCATTAAGCAGGTCATCACATAACCGCTTCTTGTTTTTATGACATTTTCTGCAGCAGTTCTTAAATGAATCTGCATAGTCATTAAGACAATCCATGAAACGTCATTGTCTGTCATGGACATTTTTTTTTTGCTGGAAACCAGAAGTAAATCCCAGTTTCCTGCAAAAAAAACAAAACAAAACACAGCGTAAACCAGGATGCAGCAAATGGCCGTTAATGGGATTTGAGTGTCAAGTGGCCAAAATGTGATCACATGACCACAGAAAGAGAGGCAGCCGTTGGAACTTCGACTCTGGGTCATAAAAAGTACCTTTTTTTGGGTGTCCATTGTAACTTTGAACAGTTGCTACGCGACCCGTCATAAGTTGAGGACTACCTGCGTGGGAAATTTTCATGCACCTGTTTTCCACAACGTTGGGGAAAAGCAGAAGGCGATGGGGAAATTAAATCTCTGTCCTCCCCTCTATCACAAGCTCTCTTCCCTCGCTCAATTTCCATTTTTAACAATTCTGCTTCAAAGTTCTCCATCCGTGGTCTCCCCTGGCAAGGGAGTGCCAGGTGTACTCACCTGGTTCGCTGGAAGGGATGGGCATCTGGGGTCTCCTGCAGGGGAGAAAAGATGCAGGTAAATCGATCCAACCCAACTTCAGACTACCTTCAGGCAACTTGGTTTAGGCCGAGTCAACCCAGCTAACTCTCAAGCAAGCCTCGACAGAGGATATGATACCCACCCCAAATACAGGCAGTCCTCCAATTGCAACCCCAGTTGGGCCCCAAATTTCTGTCGCAAAGCAAGACAATTGCTAAGCAAGCTTAACTCCATTTTACAACCTTTCTTGCCACAGCTGTTCAGTGACCCCTGCAGTTGTTAAGTTAGTCACATGGTTGTTGACTTCTGGCTTCTGTTGTGGCCTGCCAGCAGAGCTGGCGGCAGACACGGACAGTGAGGAGGTTGGGGAAGAACGTGGGCCAGTCCTGGAGTCTGGGGAAGGCTCTGATGAAGGCTCTGCATCGGAGGCAGAGGTGGGGCCAGGGTCAGTTATCAGCTGCCTTCAGAGTCAGAGATCAGTGGGGAAGAAGAACAGCTGGAGCCTGTTCCCAATGTGCGCATGCACAGAGTTGCCAGGAGAAGGGAAGAGTTAAGGAACAAGGGTTGACTCAGGAGTAAAGGCACAGGTGGATGGTGAATGGCCCCTCCCATACGGAATAAAGAGGAGGGAAAGGGGAGTGGGGTTTGCAGGAGAAAATTAGTTTGTTTAATTAGGGTAAAGATTTGTTCCTGACTTCTTGCCAAGTAATTGCTGCTACAGCATGGCATTTGGAAGCTATTGGCCTGGCAACTCTCCAAGCCTGATAAAGGTCTGTGCTTGTAAATCACTCTTGAAAGACTGTTTGCCGGGACTTTGCTGGATGTGAATGAGAGGAATTCACATTAGCCTAAATAAAAGAGGTTTTGTCCGGACGAGGAATCTGCTTCGTGATTTTGTGATGCTTAGGTCAGAACACCTTCCCCCACTGTGACACTGGCTTATCAGAAGGTCACAAAGGGGGATTACATGACCCCGGGACAAAGCAACCGTCATAAATGTGAGTCAGTTGCCAAGCATCTGAACTCTGATCGCGTGACCAAACTCTGATCGCGTGACCAAAAACCACTGCATGAATGGTCATAAGTCACAGACTACCTGTAATGTGACAATAGGCATTTTGGCTACTTTTTTATGGGACTATTAAGTTGCTCAAAGGAAGCAGTTTGTAGACATAAGTCAAGGATCAGTGCATTTTTAATTCAATAATAATATCATTATTCTTGTCTATGAGGTTAGCATAACGCAACTAAGTAAATAAACTGAAAAGAACCACATTAGCATTAAGAAAAAAAATAACATGTGCTTTTTCATTCTTACGTGCCGGGCGCTGGAACTTGGCTTCTTCTAGGCCCGGTTTTCTTCTCTGTGCTATAATAATTTTCATAGACTATAGGAACTGCAAAAAGCAGAAAGCAAAAAAGAAATTTGAAAGAAGCAACAACTAACATTGGCCCACACTGGATGGGATATGTTACTTTCTGATGCTGAGATGACAATTCTTAGAATTCTGAGCCAGTGGAGAGAAGTATTGAGGGGTTTGTAGGAGTAGCCCCTTCTGACTTACATACTTTTTTCTAGCAAAACATGGTCCTAGATACGTATTTGTCTGTTTATAACACAGTTTTATTATTTGTATGAATAATTCAAGGCAGGAAATATAACAATTTACAATATACCTTCCTCTAATTTTAAGAACCCTCCGACTTGGTTGGGCTGAGAGTGAGTGATCGGCCCAAGGTCATTTTGCTGACTTTCATGTATAAGGCAGGACTAGAACTCACAATCTCCTGGTGATTGGCCCAAAGTCACCCAGATGGCTTTCATGCCTAAGGCGGGGCAAGAACTCACAGTCTCCCAGTGATTGGCCCAAAGTCACCCAGATGGCTTTCCTGTCTAAGGCAGGGCTAGAACTCACAGTCTCCTGGTGATTGGCCCAAAGTCACCCAGATGGCTTTCATGCCTAAGGCGGGGCTAGAACTCACAGTCTCCAGGTGATTGGCCCAAAGTCATCCAGATGGCTTTCATGCCTAAGGCGGGACTGGAACTCACAGTCTCCTGGTTTCTAGCTTAGTGTGTTAACCCTTAAACAGGGGACTTGGGAGTATTGTAGAGCTTCTGAAGTGGCTGTATTGATTGTTATATGGATGGATATAACTACCCCGATTATGAATTTTGCTATATAATTTGCTGTACAGCCAGAAAAATCAAAGTGGACTGGTGGAGTAAGAGGAAGTGGCAAGACACCAATGTTTAAAATTGGTATCAGCCCTTCGACTTCAAACCAGATCAAGGAGGAGGCACAGAAGGATTCTGGGGTTGCAGTCGGGTATAATAACAGAAACTTGAAAGCCCGTCCAAGTTTCTCATTATCGCCTCTTATGCTAAAGAAAATCAAGATAGAGTTACCTAGAGTTTCTTGCTCATGCTCCTTTCTAGCTCTGGACTGTCGTCTTTTCTTCCTCTTCCACGAATCCCTTATACCTTTCCCCTCCCTTCCCCCAAATCACCTCCAAATTCCTTTACAGAACCGTGTTTTAAAGACTGGAATTGAGCACCGTTTGAAACGGAGATCTCGGGCATCCATCTCTTTACCTGGAGGGAGGTTGCCGGTCTTGCGAATATGTACAAAACACTCGATGTCGTTCCCGATGCTGCACTGCTCGAGGGCTTTGCGGATCTCTTCGTAGTTCTGTCATAGGGGAGAGAACGTTGCTTTTAGTGGCAGGAAAACGGCATGCCCCGAATCGCTCCTTTGTTCCCGAATGAAAATGCCATCGCAGGAGGAGAAGCAGGAGGTAAGAAACTGCAGGCCACATCTTGTGCTTACGCACAAGCACTCGCTTTTGGAAGAAAAATCTTTGTGGTTTTTTTTTTTTTTCTCTTTTGGAGGAACAATTCCTTCATAGGAAAAAATCCAATTTGGATCATTGTAAAGTTGTAATTGCAGGAATGTTTCAATCTCGGATGGCAAACCTCAGATAAAGAATGTTTCCAAGCAAATACAACTCAGGTAAACGAAGTTACTAATCTAAAGGAGGATTAGAAAGAGGAAGTAAACATATGTTAGACTTTAACTAGAGATAATTAATTGTATTAATTACTGTGCTAAACAGTAACGAAAGTTAAGCAGTAACCAAAGTTAACCAGTGATGGAGGATAACTAAAAATGTGTATAAATGCAAGACTAGACTCCAATAAAGAGGATCATGATTCAGTTGTTCATGATCAAACAACTCGACTGCCTCGTCATTACAACAGATCATCTATGGAATGGAAATGGAAATAGAATTGGAAATAGAAATGGAAATGGTACTAGGACTGGAAATGGAATGGAATGGAACAGAACAGAATAGATTTCATGACTCAGTTCAGAAAACTTTGTTTTCAAAATTTTGATATGTTTTTGGAGAAGTAACCGAATTCAGTGGGGAGTGAAAATGTTTCTGCAAATGTATCTGGATCAATTCAGAGCTATACAATTCAATTCAGAACTTCAAATCATTTTGGGGGGGAGCATCTAGAAATAATAAGGCTGCCTGTCGATCGTTGTGTTCTTCATAGAATTCAAGGGCATCTAAGACTATTCTCACATTATATTTTGTTTGTCTATTTGGGAGGAAGCCGTTTTGATCACCATGTGTGAATTCATTTAAATAATTTTTAAATCTTTCAGCTATGATCGTAGTAAAATATTTTATAATCTGTATTTAAGAGCGATATTGGCCTATAATTTTGAATTCTTGTCTGATCTGTACCTTCTTTTTTAATCAACACTATACTGGCCTCTCTCCAAGATTTTGGTATTTTCCCTTCCTCAAGCACAGCACTGAAGACCTCTCTAATAGATATTGGTTCAGGGTATTCTGATGTTCTTTGTATAGCTCTTTTTTTTTAAGCATCAATTCAGAATTTCGATCAAAACCATCTCTGAACTGAATATTCACATCACGCCAATTTCTTCAACTTCTGAGGAGTTTTTAATAAACTCCACCACATCTTCTCCTGTCGAGGTAGTCCTCGACTTATGACTGGCTGCTTAGTGACTGTTCAAAGTTATGGTTGGATCTCCACCCAGCTACAGGTAGTGCTCAACTTACGACCACAACCAAAGCCAAAATTTCCGTTGCTAAACAATGCAGTGGTTCAGTGAATTTTGCCCCGTCTTATGATCTTTCTTGCCACTTATTATTTAGGTGAGTCGCTGCCTTTGATAAGTTAGTGACACGGTCGTTAAGTGGATCAGCTTTCACTTAAGGTTGGGCTGACAATTTGATAAGGTGAACATAAAGCAACAATAAAACACACAGAGAAATTGGCCATCAACAGGCACGTAGAGATAAACAACATGTACCCACGATGACTTTGCTTGTTAGAAGGTCGCAAAAAAGGGGATCCCGTGTCCCTGGGACACAGCAACCGTCATAAATATGAGTCAGTTCCCAAGTGCCTGAATTTGGATCACGTGATTCTCGGGATGCTGGAATTATTTTAAGTGTGAAAAATAATCCTTTTTTTTTTCAGTGCTGTTGTAACTTTGAACGGTCACTAAACGGATGGTTGTAAGTCGAGGACTACCTGTAAGCTGCTCTTGGTCCTGTTGGGGGTTGGGTGGAGGACATGCATCTACCTGAACCTTCATTATGACCTCCTGCTTATTGCCCCAATAGAACTCCTAAGAGATTCTAACAGAATAACAGAGTTGGAAGGGACCTTGGAGGTCTTCTAGTCCAACCCCCTGCTCAAGCAGGAAACCCTATACCCGTGATGGCGAACCTATGCCACGCGTGCCAGAAGTGGCACGCAGAGCCATTTGCCCCAGCATGTGAGAGCTCGCCTGGAAGAGCCTCACTGTGCATGCGCGTGCATGCCAGTGCTGCCCAACAGCTGATTGTTGGGTATCTGGGGCGCATGCATGGGGCATGGGAGACACACATGCGTGGGAGACACACATGCATGCGCAGAGATGCGTACCGCATGCTGGGGGTTGCGGGTGCATGCGCAGATGGATGGCACATGGGGTAATCGCACGCACATGTGCAGACACTCAGCGCGCGGCAAGGGGATCACACATGCATGCGCAGACGCGCAGCATGCTGCGGGGGGATCGTGCGCACAGGTGCAGAGGGTGTGGGAGGAGCAGCACGCATTGCCTTCTGGGTGCTGACACGCGAGCGCGATTATCGGCACAGGAGCCAAAAAAGGTTTGCCACCACTGCCTTATCATTTCAGACAGGTGGTTGTCCAATCTCTTCTTAAAAACCTCCAGTGATGGGGCACACATAACTTCTGGTGGCAAGTTGTTCCACTGGTTGATTGTTCTCACTGTCAGGAAATTTCTCCTTAGTTCTAGGTTGGATCTCTCCTTGATTAGTTGATTAGATTTTAGGAGAGGGGAACCCCCCCAAATCAGAAAAACAGGATAAATAAATAATAAGAGAATATTAACTTTAGAAGGACATGACCTACAAATAGGATGGCACGCCTTTTTGTGGGAGGAAAAGAACAAAACACACTCACACTTTCAAAACCATCTTATTAGGGATGCATTACTACAGGTTGGGGATAAAATAAAATAAAAACACTACATCAAAATACCTGGTTGGCTTTCAGCAATAGAAACAATGATATCTCCAAATACATTAGACATAACCAAAATGATAAGATATAACCAATTGCTGGATTCATTGATTAGATTTTAGGAGAGGGGAACCCCCGAAATCAGAAAACTGGATAAATAAATAAAATGATGATATTTCCTCTTTTTTTTTAGAGCTATTGTTCTGATCAAAAGGGAAACCACAGCAGACATACAGGTAAAACTCGAAAAATTAGAATATCGTGCAAAAGTTCATTTATTTCAGTAATGCAACTTAAAAGGTGAAACTAATATATGAGATAGACTCATTACATGCAAAGCAAGATAGTTCAAGCCGTGATTGGTCATAATTGAGATGATTATGGCTTACAGCTCATGAAAACCCCAAATCCACAATATCAGAAAATTAGAATATTACATGCAATCAATAAAACAAGTATTGTACATAGAACAATATCGGATCTCTGAAAAGTACAAGCATGCATTTGTACTCAGTACTTGGTTTGGGTCCCTTTTGCAGCAATTACTGCCTCAATGTGGCATGTCATGGAAGCTATCAGCCTGTGGCACTGCTGAGGTGTTATGAAAGACCAGGATGCTTCAATAGCAGCCTGCAGCTCTTCTGCATTGTTCGGTCTCATGTCTCTCAGCTTTCTCTTGGCAATGCCCCATAGATTCTCTATGGGGTTCAGGTCAGGCAGGTTTGCTGGCCAATCAAGCACAGTAATCCCACGGTCGTTGAACCAGGTTTTGGTGCTTTTGGCAGTGTGGGCAGGCGCCAAGTCCTGCTGGAAAATGAAGTCAGCATCCCCATAAAGCTCGTCTGTGGAAGGAACCATGAAGTGCTCCAAAATCTTCTGGAAGACGGCTGGATTGACTCTGGACCTAATGAAGCTCAGTGGACCAACACCAGCAGATGACATGACTCCCCAGATCAACACAGGCTGTAGAACCTTCACACTGGACTTCAAGCATCTTGCAGTGTGTGCCTCTCCATTCTTCCTCCAGACTCTGGGTCCTTGGTTTCCAAATGAGATGCAAAAGTTGCTCTCATCAGAAAAGAGGACTTTGGACCACTGAGCAACAGACCAGTTCTGTTTTGCTTTAGCCCAGGTAAGACGCTTCTGATGTTGTTTGTTGTTCAGGAGCGGCTTGACAAGAGGAATATGACATTAGAAGCCCATGTCCGGGATCCGTCTGTGTGTGGTGGCTCTTGATGCACTGACTCCAGACTCAGTCCACTCCTTGTGAAAGTCCCCAACACTTTTGAATGGCCTTTTCCTGACAATCCTCTCCAGGCTGCGGTCATCCCTGCTGCTTGTGCACCTTTTTCTTCCACACTTTTCCCTTCCACATAACTTTCTATTAACGTGCTTTGATACAGCACTTTGGGAACATCCAACTTCTTTTGCAATTACCTTTTGAGGCTTTCCCTCCTTATGGAGGGTGTCAATGATGGTTTTCTGCACAACTGTCAGGTCAGCAGTCTTTCCCATGACTGTGATTCCTACTGAACCTGACTGATAGACCATTTAAAGGCTCAGGAACCCTTTGCAGGTGCTATGGCTTAATCAACTGATTACAGTGGGACACTTTGAGCCTAGAATATTGAACCTTTTCACAATATTCTAATTTTCTGAGATTGTAGATTTGGGGTTTTCATGAGCTATAAGCCCTAATCATCTCAATTATGACACATCACGGCTTGAACTATCTTGCTTTGCTACATGTAATGAGTATCTCATATACTAGGTTCACCTTTTAAGTTGCATTACTGAAATAAATGAACTTTTGCACGATATTCTAATTTTTTTGAGTTTCACCTGTAGAGTGCAGGAAGAAGAAACATACTAGAAGGAAGAGAAAGAACTTGATTCAGTCTTTTTTTAAAAAAAAATATTGCCAGTCTTTGTTTGATCTATATTCAGTTTTTCTGCCTCGGGGACACTCCAGGCAAACTGAACAGAACTTAAGATCTGATTTATAATAACCCTCCCTCCTTCCCAAAGGAAAATTGGAGAACGAGCCAAATAGCAAGATCCATAGTCTGGAGTCTGCTTGGCCTCATCTTAATTTCCAAAATGCAGTTCCTGGTATTCAATCTTGTCTCTTTCATGGGTGGTCCTCGACTTACAACCATCCATTGAGTGACCGTTTGAAGTTACAAGCCAGGGCCCTGGGAAAAAAAATGACTTACAACTATCCTTCACATTTCTGACCATCACGGATGATTATAAAACTCGATTCGACTCAACATACAACCGCAACAACTGATGACGGAAGTTCAAGTCCCAATTGCGGTCGTTAAGTGAAGGACTACCTGTACATCTTCAAGGGCAGGCTCACATAGAATAAATTATGGTAGTCTAGCAGAGACGGGGAGAGAGGGTTAGAACTCCGCTTCCAACCATTTGTTTTAGTGACCGTTCAAAATGACAATGGTACTGAAAAAAATGGACTTACGACCATTTTTCACACTTACGACGATTGCAGCATTCCCCCGGGGGTCACAGGATTAAAATTCAGGCGCTTGGCATCTGAATTTACGACTGTCCTAGTGTCCCTGGGGTCATGTGATCACCATTGGCAGCCTTCCCAGCCAGCTTTCTGACAAGCAAAGTCAATGGGGAAAGCCAGATTTGCTTAAGGACCGCATGGTTCACATGCTGCGGGGGTCGTAAGTGTGAGGATGGATTGCATGTCGCTTTTTTTCAACGCCATTGTAACTTTGAACAAGCATTAAACCAATGGTTATAAATCAAGGACTACCTGTAATCTGAAAATCATCATCTTTGAATGACCCCGTAATCCCTCGCAGGATGGAATCTGGGCAACTGAATGGAGCGGAGTGATTACTGGCCGGATGCCCTTCCTGTTGCCAATGTGGAGTTTTGTTCAGCAGATATATTCTCATCGTGCCCAGAGAGAGAAATCTCTGGGCCTCTACCTGGGATCGAACTCCCAGCCTCCTGATTGTGAGGCGAGAGCTCCACCCCTAGGACACTGCACTCCTTTCCTGTAGCCTGAAAATGCCAATCCCAAAAAAGTTTGTCAATGCCCGATCTACAGAAGGGAGGAATTGACGCTCCTTTCTTACATCATCATTCTTGACACAACCTTCCGACAGCTGGTTGACATGCAACCACATAGCGTTCCGAAAATAGTTGATCCGCTCGCATTCTTGACTCTCGAAGAACTGCAGGAGACACAGAAGAAGATCAGCTATTGAACTCCTCAAAAGAAGCAGCATTATTGTGTCCGAGTATCTATGGAGTATCTTACTCATCCAGGTCATGGGTTGTTTTTCGAGAGGCAAGTGGACTTTCTGGTTTTGCTTTGAAGACGTTTCACTTCTCATCCAATAAGTTTCTTCAGCTCTTGACTGGATGGTGGGGAATGGAAGGATCCCATAGAACTGAAGAAGCTTCTTGGATGAGAAGTGTTAGTTGGTTCAGGAATTCTGGGAGTTGAAGTCCACACGTCATAAAGGGGCCATAGTTCCCTCATGCTGACTCAGGAATTCTGGGAGTTGAAGTCCACAAGTTACATACCCTTCACATCCCGGACATAAACTGTTTCAACTCCTTCCCTCAAGGTAACACTATAGAGCACTTCACACCAGAACAATTAGACACAAGAACATTTTTTTCCCACGAACGCCATCACTCTGCTAAACAAATAATTCCCTCAACACTGTCCAACTATTTACAAAGTCAGCACTACTATTACTATTAATCTTCTCATCCCTCCTTATCACCCATCCCCTCCCACTTGTGACTGTATGGCTGTAACTTTGTCGCTTGCACCCTTATGGTTTATATTGATTGTTTCCTAGTATGATTTGATTGCTTATTGTTCCCTATGGCTATTATTAAGTGTTGTAACCTGATGATTCTTGACTCTTGATTAATGTATCTTTTCTTTTATGTACACTGGGAGCATTTGCACCAAGACAAATTCCTTGTGTGTCCAATCACACTTGGCCAACAAAGAATTCTAAAGAATTCTATTCTCTTATAAAGTGACACAGACACAGATGAACAGGGTTGGAAGGGACCTCGTAGGTCATCTAGTCCAACCCCCCCCCCCCCACCTAAGCAGACTCTACACCATTTCTGACAGGTGGCAGTCCAGTCTCTTCTTGAAAACTTCTAGTGATGAAGCTCTCAAAACCGTCTGAAGGCAGCTTCTGTTCCATTGGTTGGTTGTTCTCACTGTCAGAAAATTTCTCCTTATTTCCAGGTTGAATCTCTCCTTGATCAATTTCCATCCATTGTTCCTTGTCTGGCCTTTGGGCGCTTTAGAAAAAAGCTTGACCCCTTCCTCCTCTCTATGGCAGCCCCTCAGATATTGGAAGACTGCTATCCTGTCTCCCCTGGTCCTTTTCTTCACTAGACTAGCCAGGCCCAGTTCCCCACCTCTGGTCTAAAGATGAATAAATGGTCTAAAGATACCATAAATGGTTAAGGCAACAAGGTATGTCTAAACCTAATGAAGAGAAGTTTAGAAGTGACCTGACAGCAGCCTTCCAATATCTGAAGGGCTGTCACGGGGAAGAGAGATTTATTCAATTTATTCTCCATAGCGCCTGAGGACAGGACAAGAAGTAATGGAAACATATCAAAAAGCAGTCCAACCGAGAACTAAGGAGAAATTGTCTGATAGTGGGAACAATTAATCAGTGGAATGGCTTGCCTCCTGAAATTGTCGGATTAGACAACCGCTTGTCCATAATAGTATGAGGTTTCCTGTGAGACTCTAGAAAGAGTACAGAGAAGATCAACAAAGATAGAATCAGAATCAGATCAGATAAACAGAGTTGGAAGGGACCTTGTAGGTCATCTAGTCCAACCCCCCACCCAAGGAGGAGACTTGCCTACACCATTTCTGACAAATGGCAGTCCAATCTCTTCTTGAAAATCTCAAGTGATAAAACTCCTACAACTTCTGAGGGCAACTTCTGTTCCATTGGTTGATTGTTCTCACCGTCAGAAAATTTCTCCTTATTTCTAGGTTAAATCCAGGGGTGGGATACAACAGGGTTAACTACCGGTTCAGGATTTACGAGCTTCACTGCAGGCTGCGAGCCGCGCGTCTGTAAATCGTCATCAGCAGCTCCCTGCAGAGAAGCAGCCTTTGAAACAGCCCTCTTTTCTTGCTTTTCTAACTGCAGCTGTGCCTCGTTCGGCAGCTGAAGTTGAAAAATCAAGAAATAAACATCAGGTAAGAGCCTGTGTAGGCGGGTGGGCAAAAACATCCGCAGACATAGAACTGGTTCTATGTCTGCTGCTCTTCAGAGCTACCGGTTCTACAGAGATGGACAGAACCAGTAGAAACCCACCCCTGGTTGAATCTTTCCTTGATCAGTTTCCATCCATTATTCCTTGTCTGGCCTTTGGGTGCCTTGGAAAATAGCTTGACCCTTTTTCCTCTCTGTGGCAGCCCCTCAAATATTGGAAGACTGCTATCCTGTCTCCCCTGGTCCTTCTCTTCACTAGACTAGCCATGCCCAGTTCTTGCAACTGTTCAAGATGGTTTTATGAGAGACTAAGAACTAAGGCTGAACCATAAGAAGAATGGTTGTAGGAATTAGGTATGTCTAGTCTAATGATGAGAAGGACTCAGAGAGACATGATAGCAGTCTTCCAATATTTGAGCAAATATTATGCAAGTAATAAGGTGAATCTACTGTATTTTCTCCCACGGGTGGGTTTTTTTTGCCGGAATTAGCTGGCTTTCAAATTTGATATATAAATAAATAAAATGTATGGGACAATGCTATTCCAAAAGGGAGAAGCAATAACACCAAAAAATTAAATAAATTTATTTTAAAACTGTATTCTAGGATCTATTTGGAATGGATGATGGGGAAATCCACTTTCTTGAACTTGTTTGGCTTTCTGCCTTGTTGGCTTCTTCTCTGCTGCGTAGGGAAATCTTTGGGTTTTCCAAAATAAACTAGTATACCCTTATGTGGAAGTATTTTACATGCAGCTGTTAAATTACAGGCTGCGTCCACAAAGGTTTCTACCAAACACCCAGTCATGTAGCTGAATCAGCAACTAAACTGTTGGTTCAGCTGAATATCTTACTTTTTGTAACAACAACAATACAAAGAAGGAGAGAGAGAAGGGAACCCAGAAACAATGGGGAATCCTGCCAAACTTGAACGCAAAAATCTCGGGAACTTCCCTTATCACCTCCACCTTAAACATCACACTGAGAAACAAGATCTCTGCTTTACTTTTGGTGATGTTGTGTTTCGTTTACCTCACAAGCCTTGATGTGTTCATTCTGCCATTCTTCCCTGATCTTCTCCAGAGCGTTGATGTTGTTCTGGTACATCCTGTCTGCAAATGGGAAGCAACAATAAAGTTACCCAGTTGTGTGCTGCAGCTGCCAAAAAAAGCCAACACAGTCCTAAACTGCATCAAAACGGAGGGATGGAATCAAGATCACGTGAAGTGTTAATACCACACTTTATAATGCCTTGGTAAGGTCACACTTGGGATAGTGCATCCAGTTTCGGTCGCCATGATGTAAAAAAGATGTTGAGACTCTAGAAAGAATGCAGAGAAAAGCAACGAAGATGACAGGAGACTAAAATATATAGAGAATGGTTGCTGGAACTGGGTATGTCTAGTTTGATGAAAAGAAGGACTAGTGGGTGATATTATAGCAGTCTTCCAATATCTCAGGGGCTGCCACAAAGAAGAGGGAGTCAAGCTATTTTGCAAAGCACGAAAAGACAGGACAAGAAGCAATGGGTGGAAACTAATCAAGGAGAGAAGCAATCTAGAACTAAGGAGAAATTTTCATGACAGTGAGAACAATTAACCAGTGGAACAACTTGCCTCCAGAAGCTGTGAATGCTCCAACACTGGAAGTTTTTAAAAAGATGTTGGATAACCATTTGTCTGAAGTGGTACAGGATTTTGTAAGCAGTGGGATAGCAGGTTTCCTGGGCAGGGGGTTTCCCAAGCAGGGAGTTGGAGCAGAAGACCTCCAAGGTCCCTTCCAACTCTATTATTCTGTGTTAAAAAGATGGTGGACCCAAATTGCATCTTGAAACTGCAGACATAAAAGTGCAGGGATGAACAACCTGCCTCCAGAAGTTGTGAATGCTCCAACACTGGAAGTTTTTTAAAAGATGTTGGATAACCATTTGTCTGGTGTAGGGTTTCCTGCCTAGGCAGGGGGGTTGGACTAGAACAGGGGTGGCCAACCTTTTGGACCTCAGGGACTACCAAACTCATAATTTTAAATCCTGCAGACCAGAGACCCTGGGAAAAGACCCTCAAAAATGCAGGAAAATTCCCTACCTAGTCTTTCCTTCTCTCCCCCAAACTCCACCAGAAATGAGTCTTTGGGACCCTGCAAGGCATCCTGCTCCAAGAGGCTGCACCGTCAAAGATTCATTTCTGGTGGAGTTTGGGGGAGAGAAAGAAAGACTTCTGCTGCTTCTGCTGCTTTCCTTGCATAAAGCCAAAAGTCTCTCTCTCCCCCTGAGAATGGAGCTGCGATCCCAAATACAGAATGATTGGTCGGTAGGAAAACAGGGTGGGGAATTTTCCTGCTGACTTTTTTTGGGGATTTTCCCAGGGTCTCTGGTCCACAGGATTTAAAATTATGAGTTGGTGGTCCCTGAAGTCCAAAAGGTTGGCGACCCCTGCTCCAAAGCACCAGAGGGCAGGACAAGAAACAATGGATGGGAACTAACCAAGGAGAGAAGCAACCTGGAATTAAGGAGAAACTTCCTAACAGTGAGGACAATTAACCAGTGGAACTGCTTGCCACCAGAAATCTTGGGTGCTTCATCACTGGAGGTTTTTAAGAAGAGACTGGACAGTCACTTGTCTGTAATGGTATCGGTTCTCCTGCTTGAGCAGGGGGCTGGACTAGAAGACCTCCAAAGTCCCTTCAGCTCTATTCTATTCTAATTCTAATATAGCATGCGGCCTAATTTTCTTGGTCCTTTCAAGATCTGAAAGCAGAACTTTTGCTGAAAATTTGCAAAGGGCATCATTATGAGCAGATTTTGGAGGGGGGGGGGGGTTTGGGTGCCTTTGAGGAAATGCTGACATCCGACTTTAAAAAAAAAATAAGCAAGAAAAACTGAAGTCTTAATAAAAGTCCTGCTGATCAAGGATGAATGTTTCCCTTCTGGATTTTTCTTGTAGAATTTGGAAATTCTTATCTGCTCCCTGTTAAAGATACATAGAACATAAGAGTCACAAGGCTGGAAGGGACCTTGGAGTTCATCTAGTCCAACCCCTACTCAAGAAAGGAGAGTTTTTATCATCCCGGCGAAATCATTCCTAGGAAGAATTTGGAAAAATCTAACAGAGTTTCTTGTTGATTCACCTTTTCTCTGAAGAAGATGCATGTTTGCTTCTACCCCCAACCTCAAACCAAGGAAGAAGATATTTAACCAATGGAGTTAAAGTTCCTTCAGCTGTCTATATTTATATACATTTTAGGCAATTTCCTTCCTCTTTTCCACTCCTACCTATTCCTTTTTTTAAAGAAACTATATTCTATACGGCCTGAGTTCACACAAAATAATGAATCCTCAATCTGAATTCACACACAATTGCTTGGCCCAAATAAATCAAATTTTGACTTAAGCTCATGGACCGGCCCACAGGACACACTGAGATAATGACTGACCCCCCAACTTCCTATCATTAACCTTAATAGCTCCACTCACATAACATGCTAAACTCAGGTTTCTGGTGTGCATGCACATGCAAAGACCAGCTGGCTGGTGTGCATGCATGCGCCAGAATCTGGAACATCAACGGGCATGCATGCCCTGCCCGGAGAGATGGCTTTTGTTAGGAATATAAGTCACCTAACAGGTATTTGGGTTAGAAATATATAAACCAGGATAAACATTTTAGTACTATATTTTTAAGGGAATGCAAGAGCATGCAATTGGGTGTGGTTTCTCAAACAGCCATAAGATGGAGCCAGAAACCTGGATTGTTTTAGTCTTGGTCTCAGAAGAGAGTGAGTATCTCTGTTTCCTTCTGTTGGAAAATATTGCCGTTCCTCCATTTCTTCTAATTGACTGATATTACTGGATTTAATGTAAGTCTGATACTGAACTGTTTTTGACACTGGACTTTGATATTTGGATTATCCCTGGATTGAAAAACTGACTGATTTACCTGTGAATGACTTTGGATTGCTCAATTTGGACTTTGCTTAAACCTTTCTGGAAGTAAAAACCTACATTTACTGTACAGTGTATCTGTGTACTGTGTGTGTATTATTCAAACACTTCTCTCAAATACATCTCCCTGTATGCGCTCATTCTCCTAACAGGGAATTACCTCAACAGCTCTGCATGCCACTTCCAGCACGTATGCCATAGGTTCACCATCACGGATCTAGAAGCTATCAGGTTGGGTAATGTTAGTTTAACAAGTGACGTGATCCTAGTCTCTTGGTGTCAGTCCCCTGTGCATTAAATTGGTCTTCCTTTAAGACCGAGAAGTGGAAATCGGTGTGAAAGTTGCCAATACTCTTCAGAGGAAGAACTCACCTGAGTCCTCCAAGGCAGATTTGGCCTGAGCGAGTTTCACGAACAGCTGAAAAGGAAGAATAAATAACAGATAAATAACAGTCAGGGAACATGTTAATTCTGAAAAGGGGAGGGGAGGAGAAAGAAAAGAAGAGAGAAAAGAAAAAAAGGAAAGGAAAGGAAAAAGAGGAAAAAAAGAGAGAAGAATTACTTCTATTTTTTAATAGGAAAAATAAAGACTCCCTTATAACTGGATTGGGCATAATATAAATACAAATAGTCCTCAATTTATGACTACAATTGAGCCCAAAATGTCTGCTGCTAAGGAAGATAGTTAGTTTTGCCCCGTTTTATGCCCTTTCTTCCCACATCTGTTAAGCGAATCACCACAGCTGTAAAGTTAGTGACATGGTTGTTAAGTGAATCTGGCTTCCACACTGACTTTGCTTGTCAGAAGGTTGCAAAGGGGCATTGTGTGATCCCAAGACGCTGCAACCGTCATAAGTATGAGTCAACCCTCTGAATTTTGATCACGTGACCAGGAGGCTGTTGCCACAGTCATGGGTGCGACAAACGGTCCTAGGTCGCCTTTTTTTTCAGTACCGTTATAACTTCAAACGGTCACTAAAGGAATTGTTGAAAGCCGAGGGCTACCTGGAGTTAAAGCGCAGCATTGCAGGCTCAGACTGCCCACAGCCTGAGTTCGATCCTGATGGGACTCAAGGCTGACTCAGCCTTCCATCCTTCCGAGGTCAGTTAAATGAGGACCCAGATTCTTGGGGGCGGGCTAAACCACTTAGAGAAGGCTTGTGACCCAAGGACTACCTCTAAATGCCATTTTGTGTGATGGCCTCTTGGCCACTGGCCCCCCCAACAGTCAAATCAGAGAAGGAGGAGGCGTGGGAGTCAAGGTCAGCATCAAGACAACCTGAGAGCTCTGAGGGAGAAGAGGGAATGGAGCTGGCAGAGAGAGAGAGACCAAGGCCGAGCCTGGGTCATCTGTCCGTCCTCAGAGGGAGAGTCAACAGCCCCCAGGTCTGGAGGTGGTCGAGGAGGAAGAGGAGGAACAGCTGGGTCCAGTGCCTGATGTGCAAATGCACAGAAGGCAGAGGAGAGGAGAGGAGTGGAAATCTATGGGCCGGTCCTTGGGACGGAAGAGCCACTGCTGCTAACAAAGCCCCACCCTAGCTCTGGGGATAAAAGGCAGGGGGTGGAGACAAATAGATGTGGCAGACAACTATTTATCTCCCGGATGGATGGACTTAAATAGCCTGAGGTGAAAGAGGAACTTTTTGCATGGGGCGGCTGGCGCTCCTATTAAAGGAATCATTGCTTCAACTACAGAGGATGTCAGGGTTCCGCACAACTGCCCTAATTAAATCACGAGCCTCGAGCCAAGCTTTAAAAGAATCCAAAAGATTTTATTTGGAGCGACGTGTCCGGCACTAACCCTGTATGAAGCCAACTCCGAGACACGTAATTGACTATCCCCTATGACCCTGTTTCCCCTCCCCCCACCCCCGCGGGTGTGTCATAAATCAGATTCGCCAACGAAACATGTTCAGGGGCTGGATGTCATCAATCGCACTCTCCAAGGAAGGATTTTTGTGGGCAGAAGATCCAGTAGCCTAGGCCAGGGGCCACCAACCTTTTGGACCCGAGGGACCACTATTAAACTCATAATTTTAAATCCCGCGGACCAGAGACCCTGGGAAAATCCCCCCAAAAAAGTCTGCAGGGAAATTCCCCACCCTGTTTCCCTACTGATCGATCATTCTTTATTTGGGATCGCAGGATACCGTCTCCAGCTCCGTTCTCAGGGGGAAGAAAGAGGGAGACTTTTTGGCTTTATGCAAGGAAAGCAGCAGAAGCAGCAGAAGTCTTTCTTTCTCTCCCTCAAAATCCGCCAGAAATGAGCCTTTGTGAGTCTTGTCATGCCGGCGCAGCCTCTTGGAGCAGGAGGCCTTGCAGGGTCCCAAAGACTCATTTCTGGTGGAGTTTGGGGGAGAGAAAGAAAGACTTTTGCTGCTTTCCTTGCCTGCAGCCAAAAAGCAGAAAGAAGCTGAAGGAAGCAGCCCAATGGCCAGGCCAGGCTTATGGGGCGAGTGGGGAAAGTGACCCCCCTCCGCCCTTTCCCCCCTTCCCTTACTACCTCGTGTTGTTTGCAATGCAAGCGATGCAAGCCTTGTGTTCCCGTGGGCCATGTGAGCAGCGCAGACTTGTGTTCCTGCACAGCCCGGATTAATTGCTTTTGGGGGGGGGGGGACATTTCTCTGCGGACCACCCAAATTTTCTCGCGACCCACCAGTGATCCCCAGCCCACGGGTTGGTGCCCACTGGCCTAGGATACAATCTCTACAAGATAAGTGTGGAATGTGCATCCGGCCTTCCATCTGCCACACTCCTCCCCCTCAGCCCTTCCCCCATCCTCCCCTCATTCTTACGGCAACTCGGAAACAGGCATAGGAAGGCTTCACGAGTTGACAAAGGGTTTGTCGTGTTTGGGGAGCTGAGTCAGGACATTTTTGGGGGGCGAAACGGTCCTCGAATTGAAGCCCAACGCCCTATTGGACGCTGTTCAGGTGCTCTGCTTGGCCTGCGTGGATCCCTCCCCCTTCTACCTTCTCCTGCTGCTTCGGTGTGACCAGGTTGCTGCTCCGATGAACGGCTTGCTCTGCTTCGTCTTTGTCCCTGCACCGCTGTTCGTAGAGCCTCTTGGCCTGGGAAATGGCAGAGACAGAGCAAGCTGAGCAGGACAGGCGATGACCCCGTCTATTAATAAACAGAAGGGAGGAACCACTCACTTCTATGGTCTTCTTGTATTGCAGATTCCGGGTTTTGTGAATGGAGTCCATTATTAGTTCAATCTGTGAAGAAGAAGAAAAATAAAAATATAATGCAAGAACCACACTTTGTTTCCAGGCAAAACATTTCCCCCTTCTAAAAATAGAAGACCGCACATCAAGAATGGAGGGGTGGGGGGAAAGCCACTCGTTTATTTTTAACCTTGCAAAGCACAATTCTCTGTTAACCCTAGAGATGTTCAACTTCCAAGGAATCCTTGACTTTAGGACTGCAACGGAGCGCAAAGTTTCCATTGCTGAGGCAAGTAAGTGACTTTTGCCCCGTTTGCCAATGCTTCTTTTTCCCCACGGTTGTTAAGCGAATAGAATAGAATTCTTTTATTGGCCAAGTGTGATTGGACACACAAGGAATTTGTCTTGGTGCAAATACTCTCAGTATACATAAAAAGAAAAGATACGTTCATCAAGAATCACAAGGTACAACACTTAATGATAGTCATAGGGTACAATAAGCAATCAAATCGTACTAGGAAACAGTCAATATAAATCGTAAGAATACAAGCGACAAAGTCATACAGTCACAACTGGGAGGGGATGGGTGATAAGGAGAGATGAGAAGATTAACAGTGATAGTAGTGCAGACTTTGTGAATAGTTGGACAGTGTTTCCAGGGATATAACTCCCACAACTTCTGAAGGCAACTTCTGTTCCATTTGGTTGATTGTTCTTACTGTCAGAAAATTTCCCCTTATTTCCAGATTGAATCTCTTTCCTTATTCAGTTTCCATCCATTATTCCTTGTCTGGCCTTTGGGTGCCTTGAAAAACAGCTAGACCCCTTCCTCTCTGTGGCAGCCCCTCAAATATTGGAAGACTCCTGTCATGTCTCCCCTGGTCCTTCTCTTCACTAGACTAGCCAGGCCCAGTTCTTCTCTTCACTAGACTACCCTTCAACCCTTCTTCATAGGTTTTAGCCTATAAGGTCTCTTGCCTTGACGAGGGAGTTGGTCTAGAAGACCTCTGAGGTCCCTTTCAGCCCTATGGTACTATGTTCTATCTGTTGAGTTACACTGAGTTTCTTTTTCATTTCCTTCCCATAAAGCAGTGTTTCTCAACCTTGGTTGGCATCTTGAAGATCTGCTGACTTCAAGAATTCCCCAGTCATGGGAATTCACCCGTGGCAAGCTGCCCATGTTTGCTAAGGAAGTCTGAGACTTCCACACCTCTTAAAGCTATCAAAGTTGAGAAAGAGCGCCATACACTACAGAACATTTTCTGTAATAGTCCTGTTTCTTCTTTGTAAGTTCACTTAGACATTTGGTTACTCTGTGCTATGTGGAAACTCAACTTTTGTCTGTTGGAGGAGGTGGGGGAAATAGTCATTGTGACGTCCTTCAACAGTAAAAACTAAAACTTGGTAGCTTTTAATTCTGAACTTTGAAATATAACATAAGCAATCACCGTAAGAGGTAAACAGAACAGATTAACAGATTTGGAAGGGACCTTGTAGGTCATCTAGTCCAACCCCCTGCCCAAGCAGGAGACCCTACACCATTTCTGACAGATGGCAGTCCAGTCTCTTCTTGAAAACTTCTAGGGATGAAGCTCCCACAACTTCTGACGACAACTTCTGTTCCATGGGTTTGATTGCTCTCACTGTCAGAAAATTTCTCCTTATTTCCAGATTGAATCTCTTTCCTTATTCAGTTTCCATTCATTATTCCTTGTCTAGCCTTCAGGTGCTTTGGAGAGAGAATAGTTTGACCCCTTCGTCTCTGTGACAGCCCCTCAAATATTGGAAGATTGCTATCCTGTCTCCCCTGGTCCTTCTCTTCCCTAGACTAGCCATGCCCAGTTCCTGCAACCGTTCATCCTATGTTTTAGCCTCCAGTCCCCTAATCATCCTGGTTGCTCTTCTCTGCACTCTTTCTAGAGTCTCAACATCTTTTTTACATTGTGGTGACCAAAACTGGATGCAGTACTCTAGGTGTGGCCTTACTAATACTTTATAGAGTGGTATCAGTACCTCCCTTGATCTCGATTGTATCCCTCTGTTAATGCAATTTAGGACTGCATTGGCTTTTTTGGCTTCCATCGCACACTGTTGGCTCATATTGAACTGGTTGTCCACTAAGACTCCAAGATCCTTCTCACAGTTTGCTTAGTGGCCATTCAAAGTTACAACAGCGCTGAAAAAAGTGACTTATGACCATTTTTCACACTTACGACAGGTGCAGCATCCTTGGGGTAACATGACCCTACAAAACAAATATTGCCTTCAATGTATTTTAAAGTTTGGCTTCCATTCGAGCTGTTCGGTTTTCTTATCCTCTGAAGACAGACAGATGAACAGAGATTGGATAGTCAAAAATATCCAGTTCCTGTCATTCTACTACAGGCAGTCCTCGACTTACGACCACAGTTGAGCCCAACATTTCTGTTGCTAAGCAAGAGAGTCGAGTGAACTTTTTCAGTGTCGTTGTAACTTTGAACAGTCACTAAATGAAGGGCTGCAAATCAATGAGTTGACCAATCCTTCCCTCTCAGCCCAAACTACCTCACATAGTTGTTGTTACTAGGAAGAACATTAGATAAACTAACTAACGTCGGGCAAGGACTCGCCCCACTAAAACTCCTGTAGCCTCTGCTTTTAATTCCGCAGTCACGTGATCAAAATTTGGGAGCTTGCCAACTACAGGTCGTCCTCAACATATGACTGCATTTGAGCCCAACATTTATGTGGCTGTTCTGACTCAAACCCTTGTCCAATAAAACAACCACAAACCAAAGGGAACAGAAACCTTTTAATGATTCTTACGAATCCCCGGTTAAAAGGCTGCTGCAAACTAGTTAACTTAGATAAGCACGAGCCTCGCCAAAACTGTGTGAGGCTGCCAAGAATAACTAAAATAAGAAATATTTTACAACACAAGAGTCTTCAAATACCAACTAAGATACTGCAATGTCCACGAGGCTGGAGTTTCAAAACGTCTTTGCCTTCTGCAAAGTACGTTCGTTTCACAGCTGGCTTTTATCTTCTTGAAGGAGGGGCCATTACCTTGCAGCCTTACTCCCAAGTTGCCCGAGCTGCTGCAGCTATTCTTTCCTACTATTCTTTCCTTGGCACAGGCTCCTCGGAAACCTCCTCATCGCTGCTGCCAGCCCCCACAATCTGTGAAGGCAGCAGTCCACTCCCTAATGGTCCTGGCCCCTCATCTGAGTCCTTGCTCTCCTCAGCCGTCCGCACCTGCTTCCAGCTAACCACAACAGGCTAAGTGAGAAAGCATCTGAATTTTGATCATGTGACCAGGGGGGATGTTGCAACGGTTATAAGTGTGAAAAACGATTAAAGTCACTTTTTCATGGTTCGTTGTAACTTCGAAAGGTCATTAAACAAATGATTGGAAACCCGTGGTCAAAATAACATTGGCTGAAGGCAATGAAGTGATGTGGTAGGCTTCTCAATCTTCACAAGCATTCTTCACAAGTGATGTGGTAGGCTTCTCAATCTTCACAAGCATTGTGTTGTGGCCCATCGGTGGCTTACAGAGCTGGCAGCAGAGTCGGACAGTAGGGAGGAACTTGGGAGGAACCTGGGCCAGTCTACAGACCCCTCACATCCTGGACATAAACTGTTTCAACTCCTACCCTCAAAACAACACTATAGAGCACTGCACACCAGAACAACTAGACACAAGGACATTTTTTCCCGAATGCCATCACTCTGCTAAACAAATAATTCCCTCAACACTGTCCAACTATTTACAAAGTCTGCACTACTATTACTGTTAATCCTCTCATCACTCCTTATCACCCATCCCCTCCCACTTGTGACTGTATGACTGTAACTTTGTCGCTTGTATCCTTATGATTTATATTGACTGTTTCCTAGTATGATTTGATTGCTTATGACTATTATTAAGTGTTGAACCTTATGATTCTTGACTCTTGACAAATGTATCTTTCCTTTTATGTACATTGAGAGCATTTGCACCAAGACAAATTCCTTGTGTGTCCAATCACACTTGGCCAATAAAGTATTTTTTTTTATTTGATTTGTCAATCACTTACAAGATAATAGGTATAAGTATATACATAGTTATGAATACATGAAATGGGTACATATAAGAAAAATAAAAGAAACAATAGGACAGGGACGGTAGGCACATTGGTGCACTTATGCACGCCCCCTACAGACCTCTTAGGAAAGGGGTGAGGTCAATAGTAGACAGTCTAAGGTTAAAGTTTTTCGGGTTGGGGGAAGAAACTACAGAGTCAAATAGAGTATTCCAGACATTGACCACTCTGTTGCTGAAGTCGTATTTCCTGCAATCAAATTTGGTGCTGTTAACCGTTAGTTTGTATCTATTGTGTGCTCTTGTGTTGTTATGGTTGAAGTATTCATTGACAGGTAGGACATTGCAATGTATGATTTTATATACCATACTTAGATCAGACCAAAGACGGCGTAATTCAAGGTTTTCTAGGTCTAGAATTTCAAGTCTGGTGGCATAAGGTATTCTACAACAAGTAGAGGAGTGGAGAACTCTTCTTGTGAAATATTTCTGGACTTTCTCAACTGTGTTAATATCAGATACGTAATGTGGGTTCCAGACTGATGAGCTGTATTCAAGTATTGGTCTAGCAAATGTTTTGTATGCTCTGGTTAGTAGTGTGATATTACCAGAGAAAAAGCTACATAGGATTAGGTTAACAACTCTTAATGCCTTTTTGGCTATGTAGTTGCAGTGGGCTCTAGCACTTAGATCATTAGAGGTGAGTATTCCCAGGTCCTTTACAGAGCTTGGGTCATCAACAAGATCTTGACTATACAGCTTGTATTTTATTTTCTGATTTTTTTTGCCAGTATGTAAGACAGAGCATTTATTTGTTGAGATTTGAAGTTGCCATTTGTTTGACCATTCTGACACATAGTTAAGATCTTTTTGAAGGGTAGCAGTATTGTCTGTGGTGTTGAACAGCTTTACATCATCAGCGAAAAGAACGCAGTTGCTCTTAATATGATCACAGAGGTCATTTATGTAATGAAGTATGAAGAGAG